TATCGTTCTTTTATTTGGTATACGATGAAAAAAGTATTTTGTTCAATATGTACTGTTTTCTCTGTACGTAACACGTCACAAAAGTATTTCCGTTGTGCATTTATAATCTAAACGTACTCGTATTTATATTACACAAATTATCAAGTAATGTCAAGACTACTTCAATTTTCAAGTACTTGACTTGATTTACATTGTTAGTATGTAATATTTGACTTGAGCGTGACTCAATTTCAAGTAAAGTCAAGTAGCTTGAAAATCAAGCCAAGTAGTGAATCCCTTATTGCTATCGCTATGAACTGGTCCAGCCAATCACGATATTGCGTAATGATTATTTATACATAACCATTACATATATAGTATGCATAACAAAACCGTTCATTTGACCGGCTACGGTAAAAATAGGTTGTATCTAGTGTTGATATGTTCAGTGTTAAAATCATGTTCACTAAAGAATTGATCTTCCCGCGCTCATATTACCAGTCAGAACCTCTATTTGGTGTTACCAATCGAATACAACATGAAACTTTAAGAAACATGCGGTGTTATGAAATGTTGTCAGGAAAATCGGAGGCAGATGCAGCTTATTCAAAAATGAAAAAATGCATTCAGACATGGCATGGAAGTAGTTCACCTTTCTCGAAAACAGATTGAGATGAGTTTTGATAGGCCCAAAATTCGCAAACGTATTATCAAAACTCAGATTATACTAAAAAAATGCTTTCTAAAACACCTACAATCAACTTCGCATTCATGCTGGCACACAGCGGAAACATGTGCGCCATTGGTTCTTGCAAAATATTAAAAAATTGTAACGAATATACCGTTTTTACTGTCCAAGTACTAATTGCTGCTCGTTCACGATCCCCTTCTACTGTTCCACACTTCTCAATCCCTCACGTACCTACCTATGGGAACGCAATCGTGCTCGAAAATTCGCAAGCTGCAAAGTATGATGATGTAATTCTGGTTGCCATAATTTTTCCAGGCCATCTTTTCGCCATTCATGATCCCAGTTACGAAGTCGTTGAAATATTGTATAATAAATTAAATGAACACGTACCAACTATTTGTGTGTTTTTGAAGCTATTGGTTTTATTAAACAGTTAATCACTACACGAACATTATCTTATGATTAAGAAACGCGTCACTATCAATATAACCAAAGATCATTCGAGAGTAAAAAATGAATAATGGTGGGTAAAGCTATACTATTTAGAAACAACTTTGCCCGGCTATGGGGATTCAATGTAACGGCCAATTTGAGCCGCAGTAAAGAACTTTGTCCACGATTTATGTTATTAGAAGCTGTATTCTACCATGAAGAATATTTAAAAAAATTAACACACGTTAATGTCTAGATTTGCTTTTTTGAGAAAGAAACTAATTGAAATTCCTTAAACTTATACAGGGTGACTTCGAAGTTGAGTCATTTATTTTAACAGTGAGTAGATCTGATCAAAAGAAATGTTTTTTTCCTTTACCATTTTTCTGGTAAAATTAAAGTAACAAAGTTATAGCCCTTTGGAAGTTTGAGTACCGCCCTGTCTCAATAATAATATCATGTACTCGTGTTTGGCAACAACGGATATAATCCGCCTTACCGGTTCATCGCATCGGAAACAAAAAAGCGAAAGAATTTGGAACGATGTTTTTGCAATTAAGTATTTTATTCAGTTCAGTTATACATACAGTCAGTGTCTGTCGGTTAGCGTGTGAATAGTGTCTGTTGCGTGGCTCAAACGAAATAAAAAATGGCACATGTTTATGCGGATCGGTTTCCCAATCGAGTGCAACCAACCCCTCGTGCCTTTGTTAATGTAGTACAACGGGCTCGTGAATCAGGTGACTTAAGACCTCACAGGGGACCTCACGATCAAATACAGGTCCGCACTGAAATACTTGTCGGGAGGATACTTTATAAAACAAGGTAAAAATTTTTTTTTATTTTTTTTTTATTTTTACACACATATTCTGGTTTATCTTCCTTCTACAATCATTATCTGAAAATTAATGACTCAACTTCAAAGTCACCCTGTATAGATAAAAACTAGAAGCTGAGGTAGATATAAATTCTGCAACAGCCTTCGAAAACAGTACTTGAAAATTAAACAAACTGAACCTTGAACGGACACAGGTTGTCTTAAAATGAATAACATCATTTTTGGGCCATCGGGAGGATCTTTATAATATCGAATAAACATCTGATACATCATCAATCGTGAGAAACAAATGATACCCATTTATATTATTTTTGAGGAACTTAGATGTGCTCCTAAACGTTGTCAGTCTTAGATGTGTCAAGAATAGGTTCAACAAAGTATCGATGATCTTCATTGTTGGGAATTGAACCACAATAAAAGGACCACCTATCAAATTATTTGGGTCTAGCCATCGATTAACATACTCTATTTGAAGGTAGACAACACGATACTATTTTCGCGTGTTCGAAGAATTATTCGAGATGAAATGAGATACCGTATCGTCATCTATAAGAATTTGTCACAGCTATGCTTATCGCCGCCACAATAATTCGAAATCTGCTCTGAAGCGGTTAGTCCCTCATAGATAGCGCTGTAACCAAGTATATATGAGGATAAAGCTACAGCGCCATCTATGAGATACTGACCTTTATAATGTAGATTTCTAATCTTTGCGGAGAGGAGAAACATAGTTGTGACAAATCCTCGTAGACAACGCGACGGTATCTCATTCTAGGTCAGATAGTTTCTCAGACGCGCAAATATAGTATTAGACTGACTATCTTCAGGTAAAATACATTAATCATTGATCTAACTGCGCCTTTATATTTGACTTCTTCTACTTCTTTAAAACAAAACCAAAAATGTTAACTAGTTTATGAACAAATTGCTCACTTGCTTCCTTCACATAGAAAACTGTCAAGGCTTTGTTGATAATAAAAAATTTCTGTTGACAAAACTTTAGAAATGTTCATAATAAAAACCGATTAAACAGATCTAATAGTTGAGCTGCACCGATGCTTAGCTTTTACCCTAAATTACGACAACGGGCAAAGTTGATTTTGCTGGACGAAGTAGGGTAATCTTATGTTACCAGCTTAATTCTGCTTAAAAACTCAAATACAGCTTTTCATTAATATATTTATATATCGTTATTCAAATTTAATGATCGGCCTGGCACTGTTTTTAACGAACATAAGGAGAGAAGAGACTCTTTCTAAGCAAAAGCAATATGGTTATGAAAAACGACACATATTTTCATAAAAAACAGTGTCGTATGATTTTATCAGACGATCAACCTTAAAAGGAGCATTTCTGAACACACATTTATACTAACTTCTTCTCATACTTCTACTTGCTGAATCTGCCATATCTATATGACAACATTCTGTAACACCCTGTATACAAATATGGGAGCACGATAATAATGCAGTGGAAATGGAATTTTGTATTTCCTTGAGTAGATATTAGATAAGAAATTGTGACGCGACTCAGTGATAACAATACGAGGAAGCCCATTAATGAAATCGTAACCTTAAATATAATTTAGTTTGAAACCTAATAATTCGTGCGGAATCAGCTTTTATGTCATGAAGAGTTGTAATTATTTTCAAGTTTAAAACTTTCTTAAATAATGTTTGCCATGAATGATAAAGTGCAACAACTCATTGGTAGTACCATTTACCCTAACAATGCCACATTTATAGTTACAATGTTAGTATAATTATAGTTACCTAAAACGGTACTAACTACTCGAATGTTTTTTTAACCCTTTTTTTAACCTGCAGATTTGTAATTTTTGGATAATTCATATCATTAGTAACACCATCCGTACATTATTTATTGGGATTCGTTTTCTCAGGTAAGATAAATCGGACATCATACGAGACCATTTCACGTGAGAAGCATCCATTGCATTTACGTTGGGGCGTTACTTTTTGTAAGTTTTCCTACAAGAAGTCAACTTGAAAATAGATGTCGTTCACTCCAGGTTCACTTACAGCAAATGCGGAATGTGCTATGTGCTCACTGGCCTAGTTAGTCATTTTATTGTTATGCTTGAGATTATATAGGGTTTTTACGTGGTCCAGCGGTGCAACGCTTTTAAGCTGAATAGCAGTAGCCAGTTTAACAGCAGTTTTCACCTGTCTGTCAGATTTGATAGCATGTTGATTTATGTTGCGAGCTGTCAAAGCTGTTCCACGGCTACTACTATTCAGAATAAAAGTGCTACACCGATTTCATTTGACTTGATGCTCTCAAAAATCTTATTGTGTACCTCTGATAAGATATTATCATCATCATGCATTCTAGATACATATTAAAATGACATCGCTTTTGAAAATGTCTTCATATACAATTTTAGTCATTTAAATGCTGCGAAACTTAAAAACCTCTATACGATCATCTATCAAGCGTAAAGTCAAAATTGCTGTCCATAATCATTTATTTCTAAAAAAAATATATTGAAAGCGCCGCGAAACGAAACTATCACGTTTTCAGAATAAATAGACATAAATTTGGCATTGACCATACTTCAAGCTGTCACACGAGATGTTTGGATGGCTGCCAATAAAAATCTATTTAGTCATTTCAAATATCTTATAAGTCACACCATTTGAATTTCTTAGGAGGCAATAAAAATTATAACTGACAAATACGAGTTTCAAATAAGCTATCTGGGCTTAATGCAGTATTTGAGGTTTTAAAAAATTGGAATGTCGAATAACGTCGCTATTAACGTGTATTATTAAAATACACACCTGCCTTTAAGAAAGCGTTTCTGGCAAAAACTGCATTTGGCAGAAAAGTGACTTAGATGGCTTTTGAAATGGCTTACTCAATTGCATTCATTCACCAGTACCTACTACTCAGCATTTTATACATAGAATATGAATTGATAATAACCATATTGTCATATAACAGATATTAATTGCCAAAATGTTTTTATCAGTTATATAAATGCATCCTTACTTGAACAATGCAATTCACTTTGATGTATTTCGAATGAAAATTTTGTAGATACCATGGTTAGTTGGGAATCAGTCGTTCTTAATAGGTCTCCTAAAGTACTAGTCATTGATCCTTCTACTCCAAAACATGGAATCCGGCTCCTCCAACAAAAAGGGTAAGCGACAGTGTTTTTGTTATATTGAATTTGCACTCTTGTACACTTGCACTTTTGTAGGTGTGATGTGATACAACTAGAGAAGAAATGTGAGGAAGAAGTGTTAAAACATATTGCAGGTGTGGACGCCTTATTATGGGCTCCACCAATAATTTTGAACAAAAAAATGCTTGATGCTGCAGGTAAATATTTCGTATGTAATAACCCTAACATAATGAATATGAATACCCACTCTTTTCTGTTAATGCTTATGTGAGTTTTTGCTCAAAGCTAGAAGATTGCAAACCTGCAACAAAATACTGAAAATGACTAACTGTGCATTTTTTAACTAAAAGGACCTAATATGAAGACCGTTGCTACATTATCGGTTGGATACAATCATATTGATATTGATGAGCTCAAGAAACGCGGAGTAAAATTAGCGAATACCTCAGGCACGACAGCTGCGGTAGTTGACATTGCCATACTACTAGCTTTGAGTGCTGCAAGAAGACTACACGATGGAAGATTAAAAATCGAAAGGTACGTAACCCTTTATTGGAAACCTCGTTCACCTACAGGAAGAAATTTCTAAATTTAAGAGTTTCTTGTACATTTAAATAAAAATCTATAAGTTACCATTCGATGTGACGTAAATTTCTAGCAATGCAGTGTTCAAAAAACTAGTTAATGGGTATTTAAAAATCTAATGTTTACTATAGTTATGCAGAATTGGTGGAAGGCGACACAATTGCCATCAGTTTTTTTTTCTACCACTTTCTATGACAAGAATTTTTGACTGTCATAACCCCTGACTATTTGTCATTTGTTTGTCTGGGCAGTCCGTATGACTTTTGCCCATTTGTCACTATCAGTCGAATCTGTCAGTCCTGGTTGCCCAGAAACCAGACAATGTTAAGGAAAAAGAGAAAGGGCAAGAAAAGAAAAAAAGAGAAGAGCAAAGAAAAACATAAGTGTATTAGTTCAAGAGGAAACTCCTAGGCTTTTTGACTTGGTACACGGATTAAAAAAAAAATTATTTATGTTTTATTAGAATGTAATTTTGGGTTCACTAAAAGTTCGCGGCAGTTTTGGGTCACAGTGCGAGCCGTGGCCTTAAATGTTTACGAACTTGCTCCACTGTGTAGTCTACTGAGTTACACAATAGAGGGTTGCTGTGCGAGTCATAATGCCTATTACTTGTTATTTATTACAATATGTGTTTAGGTTTTGTAATTTATTTATTACTTCTTCGATGTGCTTATATATATATGTTACGTATCTTTGGCAAAATAAATACTAATACTACTAATGTAAGGAACTGTTAAAAAAAGTTAAAATGGACCATTCGAAATATCAGCTCGTCCCTTGAAAAAAAAAGTAGGTGACTATACTTATCGAATTAATGTATGTTGACCTTTCCTTCTACTAATAAGGAAGTGACTTTCTACATTCAAGACATTCCAAGTGATAGCACAATTTTTAGAGGAGAGTGGGACCCGCACAATCTTCAGTTTCTATTCGGGCAAGATCTAGGCAACTCTACTGTTGGTATCATAGGTTTCGGTGGCATTGGACAAGGAGTTGCCAGAAGACTGAAAGGATTTGAAGTGAGACAGATCCTGTATGCTGGTCCTAAGGAGAAAAAAGAAGGTAAATGTTATTTTATAGGGGAAGTTTATTGTAGATGTCGTGGCCAGATCGTAAAATTGCCCATTCCATGAAATGATCGAGCATTTCATGACATGGTCGCATTAGGTGAATTCTTTAATTCGCCGGTTTATTCCACCACTGATGGATGCGGTGCTTATGGTTGACACTGTTGACAGCTTTGTATGGTGACGGCAGCAACCGGTTGAATCAAAAGGACGGATGTCTGGTCCACCGGTGGCACCGGTTGCTCAACCGGTGAATTAAAAAATACACCAATTGTTATGTATTTTTCGACTTAAATGTTGCAAGTTTATTATTTTGGATCTTAGTCGAAGATTGCAAAACAATTAACCTACATGTTACGACAACAGTTCTGGGTGGGTTTTCCCGTTTTTTTTTTTTTTGGAAGGCTTTTGGCATTTTGGTGACGTGTCTGGTACATTAAAAAACGGCACATAGAGGGCTCCATCCGAACAGGAGTACTAGATACGCCACACGATCTAGTGTACACACAGCTTCAATTTCAGGTAAAGACTTGGGAGCAAAGTTTGTACCTTTGGATATCTTGCTGAAAGAAAGCGACTTTGTGATAGTATGTGTTCCTCTAACTAAAGAAACTCAATCCATGTGCAATAAGGAGTTTTTCAGTAAAATGAAAAAGACTGCAGTATTTGTTAATGTTGGTAGAGGTGCAGTGGTCGATCAACCAGCGCTGATAACAGCTTTGAAGAAAGGTGACATTTTTGCTGCAGGTCTGGATGTAGTAACTCCCGAACCTTTACCTGCTGACCATGAGCTACTACAGTTACCTAACGTAGGTGAGGCAATTTGATCAACAGATTAGACTAATTGATACCAAGATATAAAATCCATCATATATTTACCTTGCCCTTTTTAAAAAGGTGGATTGATGGTTTCTTAAGATATGCTTCAAGTATAACAAGTTCCAGTCATATCTGACGGGCGCCTGTCACGCAACATGTGCATGCGGCTTGTTTAAATGGAAACGCAACTGGCAGGACACAACAGATGTCCAGAACGTCACACATTTATTGCGGTAACTGGAATATTTTGTGCGTATAAAGGTGCGGGGCATAAGCTGCAAACAGACATACCTCGGCATAAATTACAGCACATGCATCAGCACATCTTGTCCTTGGTGTTTGTTCTGCAACTTGTTGCAGATCCAACGAATCTGTGCCACAAGACACGACACATGTTGCGGCGCAAACTGGTTGTAACAGAAACGTTCATATATGTATAGCGTGTTAACAATAGCTTGTTATCAGCCAACGGACCAAAGACAATATAACGAATCTTTTACTTTTTACGCCACTGGCGAGGAAGTATTATAGACGCGTAAAATTTCGAAAATGAGATGTTCTTTAGATCATACATGACATGTATATCATTTAACAATACATCGCAAATTTTCGGCGGCATAAACCAGTAATTCTACGCGCCTATTAGACATATTTCACACATATCGTCGGTCTCCGCACGTACAGGCGTAAATGACAAATAGTCTAAAATCGAGTTATGCCGTAATTTTACAAATTTTTTTGTAGTCTCTTACTTCACGAAGTGACGTAGCTGTATATCAGCTAAAAATTAAAATTTTCAGAAAATTGACTAAGTTATAAAATTCCGAAAACAATTTTCACGTACCGGCTTAAATAGATTTACGACTCTGCATTAAAACTGGTTAGTCTAACAAAAAAAACCGCAACTTTCAGACTAAAAAATCAGTATGTCATTTTCAATCTCATTTATTGCTGATTTTCGTTTTCTAGCTCTCCTGTAAAATTTGTTAACTGTTAGTTACGCCGGTACGTGCGAAGACCGACGATATATTCCCTCATATATTCACCCTGAAGACTTGATCAAAACATTTTTATACGTAAAAAGTGCCGGACAGATGATTTCGTTAAATATGTATATACAGGGTGTGTCAGTTTATTGTTGCATAACTCTAAGATTCGATTGAACTTTTAAAAGTAATGCATAAAGTCTATATAAACATGGGTCGAAAAATGCGTGGCTTCCGAAATACAGGGTGTTTAAATTTACTTTCTAAAATAGTTTTTTTAAATATTTCCAACAGTATTTGATGTATAACAGTGAAAATTGGTATACAAGGGTTTTTTGTACGACAAAACGAACCATGGGCATAGTTTTACTGTAGCCGCTAGAGGGCGCTCTCTACTGTACCTGTAGTGTATTAAAATGACCGAAAATTTTTTCTTAGTGCAATCTTTTGCTTTTTGAATAAAAAAACTGATAAAAAACTGATTCTTCGCACTTTTCAACATAAAAAGCTCTCCTGTGAGTTTTCGTTATAGTTCGATGCATTTTTAATTATTTATGGGAAAATAATATTTTTTTTTACATTTTCGATTTGGGCATTACAAGTAATTAAGATGATTGTTTAGATTGTGTTTTTAAACACAGCAATAATTCCTAACTCCAAATAGACACAAAAAACAGAATATTAATTTGTTTAATTTTCCAATATTATTTTTAACAAATTAAATTAATTATTTACAACTAAAATGCTATTAGATAGTTAGGACAAACATACCAAATCTAAAGTGGTTGCTCGAAATGTAAACCCAATTGTTCAATACACAATTCACATCTACGAATGATCGAACGTGGTATAGCATTATTCAAATAAGGCCTTATTTCATCACATGCATTCCTGATTCTGTCTATTAGCATATCTCTTGTGGTTACGGGAGTCTGGTACACTTTTTCTTTTAGAAATCCCCACACAAAGAAATCTAATGGATTTAGGTCAGGGGATCGTGGAGGCCAGGCGACTGATCCTCCACGGCCGATCCATCTTTCTGGATAATTTTCGTCCAGCCAGTTTCTAACTATTCTCGAATAAGGAGCTGGACATCCATCAAGCTGGAACCAGGCCAATCTTCTTAAATCTAACATAACATCATCCCACATATTTGCATGTTCAGCCTTTAAAAATTCCAAGAAGGTCGCAGCATTTAACCTTGCAGGCAAAAGGTAGGGTCCAAATAGTCGATTTCGGTAGATACCAATCCACACGTTCACACTAAATTCATGCTGAAAATTTCTTTACCGAACTGCATGCGGATTTTCATGCTATAAAATATGTTGACTATGAAAATTTACCACTCCACGTCTAGTGAAGCATGACTCATCGGTCCATAAAACGTTGCTTAAAAACTCCCTATTATTATCAGTTCTATCAAGAATCCACTGACAAAATGTGATTCTTCGTTCTCCGTCCCCTGGCTGTAGTCCTTGCACAGGTTGCAAATGGTAAGGACGTCTATGGTCATTTCTAAGAACACGGTGAACATGGCTTGCTGAAATTCCCAAGGCACCAGAAACTCTCCTAACACTTGTGGTCGGATCTCTATCAAACTCACGCAGAATCATACGGGTAAATCTGCGCTGAGGAACATTTATGTTTTGATCCCTTTGGAGATTTCCAAAACCATTTTCAATTATTTGGCGATGCACTCTTACAAATACTGAGCGAGTTGGATGTCGTCTGTTTGGAAATCTACGTGCGTATTCTCTGGCTGCTTCTGCTGCGTTTCCATTTACAGAGCCATACACAAAATGAATATCCGCTAACTCTTGATTGGAGAATAAAAATGGCATTTTTATAAAATTTACAAAAAAAAACAGGTAAAAGAAACTAAATTTTGTGCATTTACAATTGCAAAAAAACGTTACAGGTTTCAACAGACAACAAAACTAACTGTCAACTAATTGACGTTTAACCTTATTCTGTTTTCAATTTCAAAAATATTTGCAGGCACAGCCTACTTCTAAAAATTATCGAGATACTGACTTTTTAACGTTATTTTATCATAAATAATTAAAAATGCATCGAACCTTAAAAATCGAAATATCTCCAAAACGGCTAACTATAACGAAAATTCACAAGAGAGCTTTTTTATGTTGAAAAGTGCGAAGAATCAGTTTTTTTTGTTCAAAAAGCAAAAAATTGCACTAAGAAAAAATTTTCCGGTCATTTTAATACACTACAGGTACAGTACAGAGCGCCCTCTAGCGGCTACAGTAAAACTATGCCCATGGTTCGTTTTTTCGTACCAAAAAACCCTTGTATACCAATTTTCACTGTTATACATCAAATATTGTTCGAGATATTTAAAAAAAACTATTTTAGAAAGTACATTTAAACACCCTGTATTTCGGAAGCCACGCATTTTTCGACACATGTTTATATAGACTTTATGCATTAATTTTCAAAGTTCTATCGAATCTTAAAGTTATGCAACAATAAACTGAAACACCCTGTATAAATGAACGTTTTTTTTTTTTGTTACACTGATGCAGTTGCGTAGGTAGAAATTAAATACCTAGACACCGCGTCGGCTATAAGGCGCTTAAAGATACCTTGTTAATCCGATTTTTAAACTGACTCAGATTATCAGACCTGGAAAATCCTGTGCCAGGTTGTTCACAATTTTGACACCCCATGAACAAAAGAGTGGTTGTCCTGGCCAGCTAGGATGAAAAGCCTGGTAGGTCTGTTTGAGGGGTCCGAGAAGCGAAGCCCGTTAGCATAGCGGTGTAAAAGAGCCAAATCGTTAACCGCCCGTCAGAGTGAAAGGGGCTTGAAACCGTACCCTGTGAACTTGTAATTGCAGATTTCCCGCTTTTTTCACACCACCCCCTCCCCCTCTTATAGAAAAATAATGCAGTAATGGCAAAATACCCGTAGCGATGAGCGTAATGATTTTGAGATCTCCATAATCCACCTTTAAACTTGATTTCACTTTGCCCGGTAGCAAGCTGATCGTAACTTCTGGTGTCTATTCTAATTTACTTTTGATGATATTATTTTAGTGATTACACCTCATCTTGGTTCTTCTACCATTAACACAAGAAAAGAGATATCAGAGCTGGCTGCAAAAAATATCCTACAAGGGTTAGCTGGTGAAGATATGATTACTAGAATAGTGTAGCCTGTAGAACTACCACTATTTAAGTATTTTGTCAGTACTTTCTAAACTGTACCTAATAAAATGTGATCTGCACTCAAACTTTATTCCTGAGTTTCTTGGTTTGGATGGTTCACTTACGGTACATATTATCATTGCTTCAAGGCCTGAACCTTGACGACACCCAGAAATCAGTTCCTTTAGCATCCTATTCGATTGTTAGTGACATCATGTTCCAGATGACACATTTAATATAACATCAAATGATCGATTATCTAAATGTTTATGCTTAATAATTCCGACAAAATGCAATTGTAACCATTAAAATTAAAAAAGTTCCGAACGAAATTAATGTTTACATCTAAGTGCTAGCGCACCGTAAAGTAGTTGCTAATGAAATTGGGAAAAAGTAGTTCCTTATCAGTATTTAACTTCCCATGCAATCCTTCCAGACGGTTCGTGTATAATTATGCAATTGGTGATTCAACTGTAATTAGTAGACATCACTCGACATAGACAATTATTCCATATGACAATCGAAAAACAAATCAAAATGTTTATGGAGACAAATAGAAATAAAAAGTCTATAATTTATAGGAAGATGAGTCACAGCGGAACTTACCGTGTATTAAAACTAAGTACGTCTGAAATGGTTGCGGACCACTCAAAAATCCCCTGAAACGCGTTTCAGACCCCATACATATTTTACGAAAGCATAGTTGTGTAATCTGTCTAAATTAGAGTTGATTATCTCCATCATTTTTCTAATAAAATTACCATTATTTTAGTTCTGATAAATATAAAGACATAGTGAATGGATGCGGACTTACGAAAACTAAGAACCACTTAGAAGACGAGACGGAAATAGACAAATAAAAATCAAGCAATTATTTAGACATTAATAAATGAACTAACACTGCAAAAATGATTTTTCCGATTGGAAATATGCTGTTTTATGCTACTTCGCCTTCGAACTTCTTCATCTGAAGTTTTCGAAAAAACGTTGTATACTCTGTTCCCTTTTGCTGTTGAATTGTAACACGCTCTTATTTGAAAGCTTGAGACGAAGAGCTTCATTGAACGAGTATATGATATTGACCAATCCGAGAAAATATTGTTCACTTGATTGCTCATTTATTAATAGCTTAATGAATGCTTGTATTTATTTTTTACTTTTTAGCATTTGTGATGCTAAATAACTAGTTTATCAATGAATATGTAATTAACATATACAGGGTGGGCCATAAGAGTGTTGGCGATTTAAATCTTATATTTCTCGGAAATGCGGGGCGCGGGTTGGGAGGGATAAGCTGTTAGCCGTACCGTTGCTTGGAAATTTAGCCGCCATGGAGCCGTGTCCGAGCGTATTATGAAAACAATAAATCGGTTATTACCGCACGACGGTTGTATCGACATGAATACGGTTTACGCGATTTAAGAGACGTTCCAAGCGCCAATATGATACGGAAATGGATCAGAATGTTCGAAACAATCGGCTCAATAGTAGCAATAACAGCTCGAGGTTGTCCAGCTTCTGCAAGATCAGCCGACAATGTAGAGCGTGTTCGTCTTTCAGTTCAGCGAAATCCGCAACAGTCAACACGTAAGAGAAGTCAGGCTTTCTACATCAAAAGAACGAGCTTGCGGCGAATTTTGAAGCGTAATTTGCATTTGATGGCTTACAAGATTCAACTAGTCCAAGAACTAAACCAGATGATGCCAATAACCGACTTAACTTTGTCAATTTGATGCTCGACCGATTCAACAGTTTTAACAACGCAATGTTCAGTGATGAGGCCAATTTTCACCTCAATGGCCATGTTAACAAACAAAATTGTCGGTTCTGGTCCGAAACTAATCCCCGACGCTTGCATGGACGTCCACTTCACAGCCCTAAACTAGTCGTGTGGGCTGGAATTACGTCAACAGGTATTATTGAATCGTACTTTTTTGAGGGCGAAGGAGGGCAAGCGATGACAGTTAAAGCTAACAATTATTGCAATATAATAACAGACTTTTTCGTGCCAGCTTTGCAAAAACTCCAAGGCAATACCTCTAGAATGTGGTTTCAACAAGATGGGGCCACATGTCATACAGCTAGGGTATCTATAGAGCTGCTGAAAAATATCTTTTCCGGAAAACTCATTTCCAAAAGGGGTGATATTGAATGGCCACCACGTAGCCCCGATCTATCTCCATGCGATTATTTCCTATGGGGCTACCTCAAATCGGTGGTCTACGAGAATAATCCAACTAATTTAGAGCAGCTGAAGAGGAATATTGTTCAGGAAAGTAACAAAATTCTGAGAACAACTTTTCAACGAGTTTTCCAAAATCTGCAGCTTCGGTTTCAAGAGTGTGCCAAGCAGCCGAAGGAAGTCATTTGAACATTATTTTTAAGTCTTAAAAATTCCTATCTCTCTACTTTTCAAAAATATACTTATTTTTCTTTTATATTGCGTAGCTATTTTTTAATTGAATATTGAAATTGCCAACACCTTTATGGCCCACCCTGTATTTTATTGATAGGACTTCATAAACTGAAACTCCTTGAATTATTTTCATCGTAAGATTACGTCTCTTGTATTGCATATGAAGTTTTCTTGGTCTACTGTTCGAAGAAATAAAGAAATTAATTTGATATGGTGATTATAGATGGGTACGGCACGTAAGCGGCACGCTTTGTCAGAGAGATCCCATGACCACCTTGCGGCTCCATCTTCAGACAGCTCCATGTCACAATAATATTGCATTGTCATATAAGACACTCTGCCATACTGAATTTATAATGACTTCCCTTTACTTATTGTGCTTATCAAGTCTTTTCATTTGTTTTCCATCTCATATGGGTTACTGTGGAATTGATAATTCAATATTTTGCGGCGGCTGTCATAATGAATTTAGAATGACGTCTCTTTGCTTACCTACTGTGTTTTTCTCATCAAGCTCATTCATGTGAAATCCGTATCATGGGGGTGACTATATGGAAATTATAAATCGCCATCTTGTGGTGGCCGCTACACTGGATTTATAATGATGTCACCTTGCTTATAGTGACTCACTGATCAAGACCTTCCATTTGATACACATATCGCATGGCCACAGGGTCACCGTGGAAATGATCAATCGACATTTTGTAGCATCCGCCGGATTTATTGTACAAACATATTGTCTTGAAAACCAAGCGTGTATATAAGATGTCAACTCAAATGATTAAGGTTAACTGTTTCAAGGTTTAACTTCAATATACGTACTAACATACCTACCAACCGGTCAAGTTAAATAAAAGCTTGTAATAAAAAAATATATGGTTTATTACCTGGAAATTGCTATACCGTAGGTATTAGGCCGGAAAGTTGTTTAAAAATGGGAATTTCAAAAATTACCTTCTCAGGGCGGCGGAAATTCCGAGCTTTTATTCTGTTTGTTAGCGGGAAACTGAATTTTGAACCAATTGAGCTGAAATGTTGGATACACGTTTGGTTCGCGTGACAATACGCAACGAATTAACGGTCGCCGTTTTGAATCCAATATTGCGGATGCTACAAAATGGCGATATTTTATTTCCTTAGTAACCCCGATGATATGGGTATCAAATGCGAGAAACACAATAAGCAAAGTGACGCGTCACGTCATGACGTCATTCTAAATTCAATATGGCGACTTCCAAAAAGATGGCGTTTATAGTTTTCATAGCCGCCCCTATGATACAGGTGTCAAATTAAAGGGCTTAATGAGAGAAACATAACAAGCAACGTGACATCATTCTAAGTCAAATATGGTGGCCGCCGTAAAAATGGGATTTATAATTTCCATAGTTATTCTTAAATTATGGGTACCAAATGAAAGGGCTTGATGATAATAAGCAAAGTGACATTATTCTAAATCAAATATGCTGTCCTCCGCTGAACGGCGATTCATAATTTCCAAGGTTACCGCTAATATGATATTGGTATCAAATGAACATGCTTAATGAGAGAAATATAATAAGCAAACTAAAATCATTCTAAATTTCATACGGCGATTGCCGCAAAATATCGATTTAATATTATACGATTTATATTTATCGAAATTTCATAATCCAAATGAAGTTAGAAGTTTTATGTAGTAATTATTAATGAAATATATGCAAATTACCAAATACTAAAAAGTAAATAATAAATAAAATAGTTTTGAAAACAAGCGTTTATTTGGCTGCTAATCAAACGCTTACAAATAAAAGTGCGTTACGTTTTAATAGCTAGATAGAAAAAGGGTATAACACGCTTTTATTAGAAAACTTGTGATGGAGGAGTTTTATCATGATCGTTTATATAATTCCAATCTCATGTTTCAAAATCTATTTTTTCTTTTATTTGTTATAATGGGTGATTCAAATTGAGTTTCCACGTTACAAATACATTTTTTTTGAAACGCCACTGAATTTGTCAACGACAACGTGCCATTTCTAACGTCAAAATATAAACAAAACAGTCATGAAGCAATATGCCACCGAACAACGTGTTAAAATTATCCAAGCCTATAATGAAAACGGCCGATCAAGGAAGAATACATTTCGTGCTTTACGTGAATTTTTTGGCGCACAAAATCGGCCTTGTGAGTAGACAGTTTGGAATTTGGTGCAAAAATTCGAGCAAACTGGATCCGTCGCTAACACCAAAACCCCTAGGCGTGCTCGTAGAGGTCGGTCGGAACACAATATTGCTATTGTTGTCGAAAGTGTGGCCGAAAATCCAAGAACCTCGATTCGTCATCGATCGCAGCAACTGGACCTTACTGATTCCACTACACAGCGGATTTTAACAAAAGATTTGAAGTTACACCCATACAGAGTCCAAATAACACAGGAATTGAAGCCTAGGTAACACATCAGGAGAGACGATACAATTACTGCGCGGCAAGTTTCCAGGTCGCGTTATTTCACGTAACGGCGATATCAGTTGGCCGCCGCGATCCTGTGATTTAACTCCCTTAGATTATTTTCTTTGGGGTATTTCAAGAGCAAAGTCTAAGAATAATCCGAACACAAGTTCGGAGCTGAAACAGGAGACTAGACGCAAAATTACCAACATAGGCCCTGATTTGTGCCACGGAGTAGTCGAAAATT